AGGGAGGAGAGTGATGCACGCACTCTGCATGGAGAAGAAACACTTCTATATATACCCAGTGCATTAAATGTCCATTTAATGCAGTATGGTAGGTTATAGAATGCGTGTCAAGCCTTAAGAGGAAGACTTGTCCTTTGTTACAGAGAATAGTACAAAAGCACTATTCTTGAACAGACATCCTTACCTAAAGATGRTGGACAAAGAGTCGACTAATCGGMTCCGTACCGTACTATCTTTGGTAARGGTATGGGTTTGTCCTTTTGTGTGTGCAAGGACAAAACAACAACAATCGTGCTAGGCAAGCTTCGTTTGATCGTTGAATGCTGGGATGACTTGAAGGTCTCATCACCATTCGCTGAAGCTAGAGCAGTCTTCACACATAGCTAGACATGCTTGTAATCACTGAATACCGCTTCTAATCACGTACGCGCCAGTCTCTAATCTTCAGTTTCAGTCTTCGACGTTTGTTGAAGGATCTTTGGTGTGAGTGTTGTTTTCTTGAAGTATCGTTGTCTCTGAAAGATTTACAAAACAAGTTCTTCAGCGATCACTGAACATGCTCAGTGTATTGATCGTTGGAACTGAAAATACAGAAACTAAAATACATCAAAAGGAAAAAGGGGTTATCATTAAATCACTGAGAGAGAGGATCAACAATAACTCCAATACATGTTTCAGTTATTCTTCAAACTGTTATTATCACGTCTCTTATACGAAAATCATTTTCGGTGATAATACACTCGTTTGTATTCAAATGTTGATTTTTCTGATATTTTTTTTCCTTGATTGATATACAATTCATTTTTTTAAATATCAGAATCTGTAAACTCATTCTTACAGATCTTCATTCATTTATCTCATATATACTGAATAATCGGATCATTGTCGCATCATTCTTTATTGATCGTGCTTAAAGCCAAATTTTTTGATCAAATTTTATCTGATCATTGTGCTTATCTGCAATAATATTTTTGATCAATCATTGTGATCATCTGAGCATAACATGTAATTTTAGGAGGGACTGAGTGCTCATCAGAAATACCTCAATGGAATGTCAGAACCGATAAACCTACCCATGAGGACAACCATATCTGAGTGAGCTTTAAATCAAAAAGGGTTTGTGTGTCGAGATTAAAATGAAAATGAGAGGGGTAGTTGTTGTGAGCTAAAAGAATTGACGAGAGTTGTGTCAGGATTAAAAGAAAACGAAAATCCTGTTCCAAACTTATATAATCCGGGCATACCTACAATCTATTAATTCTCCATTCTTTCGAGACTAATATTGAAAAAGGCAAAGCCCAGGCCGATTCTTG